TGTTTTTGTTTTTCAGGTACACCTGCACCTACATCTGGACGTGTCGTTCTGTGTTCGTCTGTCTCTCCTTCCTGTCCTCTCAGACCAGCCGGTCGAAGCAGATGGCTGCTTGTCCTGAGCCTGGTTCGCTGGAGGTTTCTTCCTGTTAAAAGGGGTTTTTCCTTTCCACTGTTACCATTGTGCTTGCTCAGGATGGGAGACTGTGACAAAATGAAGATTCAACGAGTCTGCTGGCTTCCTTAGATAGAGAACTTTACTAATTAGCTTTTCTATGTATGTGCATGTTTCTGTAAAGTGCCCTGAGACAACTTTACTGCAATTTGGCGCTATATAAATAAACTGAACTGAATTGAAAACAAAATATGTAATCAACAAAAAAAAAAAACAGAAAAAAACTAAGAAAATGTTAATAATTAGCCTTACTTTTAATAGAAAGCATGAAGAGACAAGGTCACAATGAAGACACAGAAGGCAGGTTTTAACAGAGGAGAGTCAGACCGAGAGGACGAGAGGCAACACAAGCTGGCCAGCAGGGCGTAACACGAATCTCCCAAGAGTCTACTGTCTCATCAACACACACGCATACACACACGGATACTTCATACGTGTCCGTCATCTATCAGCTAAAAGCTCAGGCTGACGCACAGTGAAGACGTTAAAACCTTATGAAGGACATTTTGTTTTCTTTGTCTGCATCTTCTAACAGTTAAAGCAGAGACAAACAGGGATGAATATGATCCAAAGGGAACAAGAGGAGGAATAAGGAAAACATTTTTCTTTTGACATTTTATTTTTCCCTCATTCTCTTTTGGGTAGAAGCATCGAGCACGATGAGCTGTGCTCTCTGACGTCAGCAGGACTCAAAGTCAGGCCTCTTTAAGTTTTATTGGTCATGATGGGAACTGATAAACATCCTTTGGAAAGCACTCGATCAGGAGAGACTTGTGTTTATCTCATGTTCTGCACGAAAATAGTCAGGTCTTAGTCAGCTCAGTCCCCCTCGGCAGAGAGCTGAGTAACTGCATGCACGTTTGATCGTCTGCAAACACGTTACCACAGTCTTTTAGGAAACTCAGCAGCAATCAGAGAGTCTGTGTGTTCTGCTCAGAAACAGGAAGTGACTGTGGTGGGCGTTGACCAGGAGAGGAAAGAACTTGTGTTTGTGTGTTCGACTGTGCTTGCGTGCTGACGAGCAGACCTCTGAACGCTGGACTCGGTTCAAAAACTAACAGGAAATCCTTTATAACCAGATCTAAGAGTCACCTGAACACCTCCCGTGTACGTGAATAAAGCTACAAGACCAAAAGGAGAAAACGTGCGCTGACTGAGAGCCATGTGGGGCACCAAGGGCCCATTTAATCACAATGCATGGAAGTTTAAATCGTGTTTTGTTTGCAATAAAGATGGAGAATAGGTTTTCTTTTAAAACACTTGGCAACACGTATCTGCTCAGTGAAATGGTTAGAGAAAGAGAAGGAAAGTTAGGCAAACATACGCCTGTTTTCATCTCGTTTCCCAGAGAAGAGGAATATTATTCTAGTGCTTTTTGAATTACTGAAGCTATTAATCTCACTGGCAGCTTTAATTTTCTCCATGAATCGAGCACAGTAATCAAATCCTGAACACTGAGAGACCTCTGTGTCTTGGAGGTCTGGAGAAAAATCTGACTGCCGAGTTGTGAAGCTTTAACAAGTTTGGAAGACTTCTCATCACCAATTACTGGTCTTCCATTAAAAATGCAGAATCTTTTTTCCATTTCTAACATGGAAACTTAAAGGACAAGGTTCACCAACAGTAACCTGACTGTAATCTACCAAAGAGCCATTATTTAGACTGGCTGGACAGTGGTGCAGTTACAGTCACATTACAAACACACGCTGAACGTCCTTCAAAGCTCTGCTGTTTTGGTTTAGTGGAGACAGAACGAGCTTATAAAGGAACTGTCTGGAAGCTCCAAGAATGGAGGCGTGCACTCAGATATTTCTAGATGTTTCATCAGCAAAAAGATAAACACCTTACCAGTTCTTCAACTACCGGTAAATCTAACGATTTTTTTTTTCTTGTTTTGTCCCTAGCTGGCTTGTAAAATTCAAGGTCGCATTTTTACTATAAATATGGACTCCGGCTGAAAGGAAAAAGGCTATAATGTTTTCATCTGTGTGTTAATATGTCTGTTCTGTTAGCAGAAAAATCTCATAAATCACTGAATTAATTTACACAAAATAAAATAGCTGTAAGTTTTATAGATATTGAGCTAAATAACTGACAGTCATTTGCAACACATCCATCCATCCATCCATCCATCTATCATCTTTTACCCACTTCTTCCTTTTTGGGTTACGGGGGGTCACTGGTGCCCATGTCCAGCCATCGCTGTGTAAGAGGCAGAGGGCACCCTGGACAGGTCTCCAGTCCATCACTGGGACACATAGAGACAAACGAGACAAACAACCACTCACTCTCTCACACCTAGGAACAATTTAGAGTTACCAATCAGTCTAACATGCATGTTTTTGGTCTGTGGGAGGAAACTGGAGTATCCGGAGAAAACCCACACCTGCACAGAGAGAATATGCAAACTTCACCCAGAAAGACCCTCGGACCGGGATTTGAACCAGGGTAACCTGCTGGATGTGAGGCAGCGGCTCTGCCAGTTGTGCCACCGCGCTGCCCCGGTAACACATCACACAAGATATTACAATATCATGAGAGGGCATGATGTTCTTTTTAACGTTTGATCAAAATGGCTATTTTTAAATCAAGTCTCGTCATAAAATGATGAGTGATATGGACATAAATTAATATTGATATTTTAAGAAAAATTGCGATATGCGATATATATCTCGATTTTTTTTTGTTCCATAAAGTAATAACAAAAAAATATATATTTCCGAGTCAAACTTCGTCCCAGTTGTCACACAGGCACATTTATTAACAACAGCTGTAACTGTACAAAATAAATGTATAAAAAATAAATTATTCACATATTAAATAGTTAATTTTTTAGACATTTATTTAGATATAATAATCCTCTTCAGCTGGGGGAAGCTGTGGCTGAGAGGCTAGCGCAGTCGTCCTCCAATGGGAGAGTTGGGGGTTCGATTCCACCAGCAGCCACATGCTGAAGTGTCCCTGAGCAAGACACTGAACCCCTCATTGCCTCCGATGTGTGTCCCATCGGTGTATGATGCTAGCCCTTTACTTTGATCTCTGTAACTCCGGAGGCTTATCCATTTATTTATTCACCATAGCAACATTTCTGTTGTATCTGACAAGGCTAGACTGTAGGACTATCACCAGATCAACAGGAAGATGGAAATAACACACCTTAGTTTTCTTCACATCTTCAGGGTGAAAATAAGAGATTGCAAAGGAGATTGCATGACACTATATCACCAACAATTATAACAAAGTTTGTCTAAAACAGAAATATTTGTTGTGACAAAGTAGCTGCAAATGAAAGTCAATTGATCTGTTTTATTTGGTCCATCCTAGAAACTGGGCTCGTTGTCTCCTCTGAACTGCTGCTGGCAACACCTGACGAGTACGTGACCTGATGCACGTTCAGCCAGAGCTTCAGGTGCGAGTCTGGATGTTCAAACCTTAGCTAGACGTCACAGAAATACATGGACGTTCATAAAACTTAAAAACATTTTAGACACAAGCTGAAGGAGGAAAGCCTAAAGTACACCAATGATGGAAAAACAACAAGATGGAAATTTCCATCCAATAGTGCTTCAGGTTTAGAGGCTCTGCTGGGCCATAAACGGGTCAGGTCTGAAGTAGCTTAGCCCCCAAGCTCTGTTTGTCAACCAAAGAGAGACAAGGGGGAGGCAGTGGAAAATTACCAATCCCGCACTCACTCACGCACAGACGCACACAGAGACACACTGCGTTTTTAATGGGAGGGGTGCAAGGGGGGCATCGTTGCGTTGTCAGGACGCAGCAGCCCGCAAACCTATGCAACCAAACACATCTGATGTGTGCTCACGTCTGCACATTTCCAAGAAAATACATGAGACATGTCAAAGATGCCAAAGAGATGGACGAGCGACATGCACGTGTGTCTGTGTGAGTGTGTGTTCACTCTCTTGGTAAGTGTTGTGTGTGTTGCACTTTTTCAACAAGCAAGTCGAAGCATACGTCAACAGCAATCAGTGAAAGTTAGTACATCCATCACTTTTGCACAATTTTTCAAGGTCTGTCCATCCATCCATCCATCCATCCATCTATCAATCCACCCATCCATCCATCATCCATCTATCAATCCACCCATCCACCCATCTAACTATCCACCCATCCATCCATCCATCCATCCATCCACCCATTCATCCATCCATCCATCCATCCATCCATCCATCCATCCACCCATCCAACCATCCA